CCGGCTGGGCTCTGCCATGTGCAGCGGACGAGGATGGGGAATAAAGAGGCTTATTTCAGCACCCTGTTATTATAGCATCTTGTTTCCATAGTTTGTTCAACAAACCTCTCTCCCTCTCCCTCCTCCCCCCTGGCCTCTCTTTTTTTCATCTTCCTCTCTCAGCAAATCCATTTAAATGCAATTCTATTCTTAAAGCGCCCCTCTCATGCATGTCTAATGAATGTCAGGGAGACGCTATTACAATGGGGCCGAGGAGGGTCCAATCCGCAGTGTGTGTACAAGTCATTTGAAAGGAAGCCTGGGAGCGCTCCAGTTTTATTACAGCATAATTAGAAATAAAATCTTGTTGCAATAGGCGAATGAGAGATGTGTGCTAATCCTGTGGTGGAGGAAGATAGAGCTGTGTTTAGAGAAAAGGATTCAGGGAAAAAAGAGGAAACTAGCCATGGCGCCTCCCCCTCCCAAGGTTCTCCTGATTCTCTTCCCTGAGACCTTCGATCTTCACAACCCCTGGCACCTCCACCTCCCTGGGCACCACTACAGAGACAGTTAACCAAAGCAGTCAGTGGGCCAGGACCTGGGGGAGCCACGGCCAACTCCCTTCCTGCAAGTCCACATGTAGCCCACCACTCTGGGGAGTGAGGAGGTATGGGAATGGTTAGTAAAGACTGAATTTGAAGACTAAGGCCAAGGTCCAGTTCTGAGCTTCCAAGATATACACTCATTTGCTTGACACTTTCTGACTGCCTGTTAAGTGCCAGGCACTGTGCTGGGTACATTCATTAACTCATTTATTTCTAACAAGAAGTGGGTTTGGAGACATTCAGTGACTTGTCCTGCATTATCCAGCTAGAAATGGAAACACAGTTGGAGGCCAAGTCCTTCTGGGCTCTTTTCAGAAAGAGCCAGGCTCTTTCTGCTCCACCATGCTGTAAGCATCCTGGGTCCTCCTGAGTCCCTCAAATAGCCATACCTCTGAGTAGTACCTTGGTCTGCTGTAGAGCCCAAAGATGAGGAGGTGGGATTTGGCTAATCCCATGGGCAGAACAGAAAGGGGGCCTTGGTGATAGCTCAGTTCCATTAGGCAGGTCGTTGTATCCATGTGGAAGATGATTCTGACCCCAGAGTGGAAAAGGGGGTTGTCAACACTGCTCCTGTGTACAGCACCCCCTCAGATCTCTGGCTGGGATGGCGGTAAAAGGGGAGAAGTCCCCACCCTTGCCCAGCCAACTGGAGGGAGAGCACAGAATCACAAAGAGAGTAAGGCTTGAGAAGTGTATTTAAGAGCAAACCATTTAATTCATCATTTAGGGAAACTCAGGCCCAGAGGGCTACTGAAACTTGTCATAAGTGACCCACAAATTAGAAGCCAGGTTTTTCATCTCCCCACCCAGTGCACTCAACTCCACCATGCCTGCCTCTGCACAGGTGCCTCCAGAGGAGCAGTTCCCACACATGACATTTCTCAGCCATGGGACTCTGCAGCAAAGCCTCAACCCTTCTTAGAAACCATATTTTGGGGGTGGGGGCACTGAGGTTGCCCTCCTGTATTGAGTGCAAGGTCAGCCAAGCTCCAGAGCTAACCCTAGCCAGAGGGTTTGATTCAACAGGGAACAAGACAGCTCTGCAGCCTGCAATGAGTTCCAACTTTGCAGGAGAAACGGTCTGAGTCAGACCCCATGTGGACAAGGCAATGTCGGCATCACTCTGTAACCCTATGCCTTCTTTATGGAGCCACAGGCCCTCTCACCACAGAGATGGCAGTGGGAGAAGAAGAGAACTGTGGGATCCCCCACCACCTGGGAGCACATGGTGGTACTTTAGATCCCCTGTCAGGGATCTGGCATGCCAAGTCTGGCCCCAGCCTGACTTTATGCTCATAAGATGAATATGAGACCATGGTGTCTACCCAAGTGCTCAGGAGCCCCTGTGCCAAAGCAGGTACATAAACCTGCTACCTGCTGCCTTCCATGTAGAGGTTCTCTCACTGTAGGGCTGTGTTTTAGTCAGCTCCTCTCCAGCTCCAGCTCAGTTTCTGGCTATGCATGCCCCACACAGGCTGGTACAGTGGAAGACCCTCTTCCCCAATCTGTCCAGTTTCCCCCTGGCCCAGGTATAGCCACTGATTCTACTTCTATCAGGCAAGGGTAATGGGCCAGCAGACAGGAGGCCTTTCTTGATGTCTCCATACAGACTCAGACTAGTTGTATGATTCAATGGAATATGAGCCTCTGACTGAGAGTGCAGATGAGGTTCCCTGCACACCTCCTCCCTGAACACTGCCTTTACTTACCCCCTCCTTGCTTCCTTCAGCTCCTGACCCGTGATGCCCACTGGAGGGGCTCAGTCTCAGTCCTCCCTGACCCTCCTTGCTCTCACAGGTGTGCTATGTCTCGGAGTCCTCAGGAGCCACTCCCTCTGCCCCCTTCCCTGCCGCATCGGAGCAGGCCTGATGCCAACAGCATTCTGGACAAGAAAGGTAGTGCTCTGCTCAGACTGCGCTCATACCATCTCACACTGGGGACCCACACAAACTTATTTCTCACCATTCTGGAGGCTGGGAGTCCACGATCAAGGCACTGGCGGGGTGGGGTCTCCTGAGGCTGCAGATGTCCCCTTCTCGCTGTGTCCCCACATGGCCTTTTCTCAGGTATGCACATCCCTGCTGTCTCTCCCTCCTCTTATAACGACACTAATCACATGGGCCAGGGCCGCAACCCTGTGACCTCATCCAACCATCACTGCCTCTTTGAAGACTCTATCTCCACCACACAGTCACACTGGGGTTAGGAATTTGACATGAATTTGGGAGAGGCCCTTAAAACAACTTAGAGCCAGCCAGGCCAGCGCTGAGACTTGAATCCAAGTTCCCCACTCACATCCAGGGTGCCTTCCACTCAGCTGCAAATCTCTGTGTGATACTGCATCTGGGATTCACAACCTGGGAGTCCCGAGTCAGGAGAGAAGAGGAGGGGAAATGGGCCATGACTTCCTCTGGGTTTTCAAACCCCAGCTAGCAGGCACCCCAGAACCCCCACCATCAACAGAAACAACAGAAGGGAAGGAAAGGAAGGTGCCCTGCGGAGTGTGCCCAAAATAGCTCCCTGCAGGCTGCCCTGGTGAGGACCTCAGACAGAGGCTAATTCCCGGCACCAGGAAGTATTGACCATCCTCAGCCCTCCCCCGAAGCACAAATAGCTTTCAAGGCAACAAGGGTCCTGATTGTGGAGGCAAGTTATCTCATTAGTCTTATGAACTATCCACAGGTCCAAGCTGCGGGCTGAGCACATTGTTTTTATAAATCTATATTGGTTGGAGCAGCAGCTGCTAACCTGTATTGATTGCGATTTCTCTTTTGGAATTGGGCAGGTCCCGGGGCCAACTGAGGAGCTTGGAGGCCCTTGGAGGCCCTGAAGCCATCCCGCAAGACAGACTTGGGCTGTGATAGTCTAAGAATCTCTTCCAAGACAGACTGATGATTATTTTCTGACCTTGGCCAAAGCCTGGCCTGGTGCAAAGCCCCATCCCATTTCTTCCTTCCTCCCCTCACTTGGCTCTTCCCATCACTTTTGTGACCTTCCTCACAGGAGTGGGGTGGTGGGCAGAACAGGAAGCCCCTTCCTTGGCCCCAGTTTGCTGCTTCAGCTCCAGCAGGGGAAAAGCACCTGCAAAGCTCCACACAAGTTCCTGTGTATGTCACAGACACACACCCCCTGTGCTTTTCCACACTTAGGATTATGGTTTTAAACTATCTCCCTGCCGGCATAGAGTGTGGTATACCTCACAATGTCTTTTCACAAGCATTGTCATGTGGACTCCACAAAACAGCCCTGTATGCACAGAAAACCAAGGTTTAGTGTCCCCAGTTTGAGGATGACCCTTTGCACTGAGTTATATTTCAACCCTTCTTTCACTTTTTATTTTGAGACAGGCTCTAATTTTCTCCAGGCTGGTCTGGAACTCACATCCTCCTGCCTCAGCCTCCCAAGGTGCTGGGAGTACAGGTGTGCTTTACCATGCCTGGCCTATTCTGCTCCTGCCCTTCCACCTTCAGCCATGGCAGGAGACAGCACCAGGCCCTCACCAGAAGCCAATGTCATGTGCTTGGACTTACTTCCCCACTCTAGTCAGGAGCCAAATAAATTTCTGTTCATTACTGGTCACCCCAGTATTCTGTGATATCCCTGTTATTCTGTGATAGCAGCAGAAAAGGACTAAGCCACCAGCTCCTCTGGGGTGGTCTCTGCATGTGTAAATGTGGTCACACTCCCCTGGGGAGGAGGCTCAGCTGGGAGGCCTGGCCCTCCGAGGTCTGACTGTCTTACCCCAGGTGGCAGTGTCTCGCCTGTGGCCAGGATCCGTGCCCTCAGCACAGGCTCACTGAGCACCTGATATGTGCCAGGCCTGTCCTGGGGTACAGACAGAACTAAAATGACCCCAGAAGGGGCACCATGTGCTGCAGAAACAAAGAAGCTAGGCAAGGAAGGAGTGGGCATGGTGTGGGACCCAATCCAGTTCTGACAGAGTGGTCAGAAGAAGCCTCTCCAAGGAGCTGTCGTGTAGGCAGAGGCCTGAATGGAGCTGGGAGTGAGGGAGAGAAAGAGCATTTTGGGCACAAAAGGAGCAGCAGCCGCGGCCCGGCGTGGAAGGAGCACACACACATACGCAGCAACTTCAAAACCACAGCAGTGGCTGCCTCCAAGGGGCCTGTGGCAGCGACATCCTTTAAGCCGTGAATTTATAAATTGCTGGGAAGGCAAAGACCTTAAGGATGATCGACTCTATTTCTCTCACTTGAAATTTAAATCCCCATGTCCTTTCTCATCAAAGTGTTCAGCATTGATTTAAATACTTCTTGTGACAGGAAACTCACTACCTAACAAAGATACTCTTTCCAATTTTTTATAACCGCAAATGTTTTGATTTTGTATTAATTTTGGTAGCATACTCACAACATAAAATATACCATCTTAATATTTTTTAGTGTTAGGTTTGGGGTTCAGTAATCTTTAATTTGGTTTCATTTTACAAAACTGAAACTCTGTATCCATTAATAACTCCCATTTTTCCTTCTTCCCAGTGCCTGGCAGCCACCGTTCTACTTTCTGTTTCTGTGAGTTGGATTACTCCAAACACCTCACATGAGTGGAATCTTACAGTCATTGTCTTTTTGTTTCTGGTGTATTTCACTTAGCAATGTCTTCAAGGTTGATCTGTGTTGCAACATGTGTCAGAATTTCCTCCTTTGGTAAAGGCTGAGCTATATCCCATTGCATGGAGAGGCCACATTTTGCTATCTGTTCATCTGCCAATGGAGCCTAGGGTTGCCTCTAAACGTGGCTGTTGTGCATTGTGCTGCTGTGAACACAGGTATGCAAACGTCTCTTTGAGCCCACGGGTTCAACTCTTTCCAGTGTATACCCACAAGAGAAATGCCTGAGTTTTATGGAGATTCCATTTTAATTTTTTGAGGAACCTCCATACGGCTTAATCTTTACTTTGGAATGTTCACCCCCCCAAAAAAAAAAATTAAGTCTAGTTGGATATAGTAGAAGCAGTGAGAGCAGTGAGAAGAAGTTGGCCTGATGTAGAAACACTCAGACATCTGGAAGGGCTTCCTGGAGGAAGTAAATTTCAAGCTGGGCTCAGAGGTTCTGAGTGGTGGTTCCATGGACTCTACCTTAGACTTTGGGGAAGTGTCACTCATGCATTCATTCTTGAAATGTCTCCTGAGGGCCTATGTGTGACAGGCACTGCTTTCACACTGAGTGGGAACCTATGGGGTGTTGTGAGCAAAGGAGCCCCATAAGCTGACTTAGGGCTGAAAGCATCACTCTGGTTGCATGTTGGGGACAGGTGGAGGGGGGCTGCATGGAAGCTGGGCCCAGTTGGGAAGCTGCTGCCCCTGCTTCATTCTGTAATATCTCTTCCTTTGTTCTCAGAACTTCAGGGAATCAGTCCAGGTCATAACTTCCCCAAACCCTTAGCCTCCTGCTCCACACAATCTCCCCCACACCTCCCCCAGAGCAGAGTAGCAGTGGCCTCACCTCCTCCAGAGACAGTTTCTCTCCTCTCCGTCCAGCCCCTCTGGGGCTGCCAGGAGCCCTGAGGTGTCTATCAATTATCTCTTCACGGCTCCTGCAGCTCACAGGAGTCTCTAAGGCCCAGCTCTCTGCCCTTTAAAAAAAAAAAAAAAGACAGAAAAGATGTTGTCAGCTCACTTAGCACTGTGCGCAGGACCTCAGAATCACCAGGGAGGGCTTCCCCAATCTCCAGCCCACCTCCTGAACAGGAAGGGGAAGGAAGGATGCACAGGAAGCCTGGCCTTAGGAAGGAGCTGAAGTTCCCAGTAGTCCCTTCTTGAGACCCCGCAACTTGTCCTGCACTGAATCAGCCACCAGTGTGCTGGGGGCTGTCCTGGGCATGATTAGTCCCCTCAACAGCTCTTAGACTGTGACCTAAGTTCTATTTATTGTCTTCATTCTCCTGGAGGAGAAATGGGACTCATACACCTTTAGTGACCACACAAAGGCACCAGTTGTCAGGAAGGGTCCTGATGATTTTATCTGATCAGGGGTTCTCTGCCCTGCATGCTAGAATCTTCCCAAAGCTTTTTAAAAATACCAATTTTCAGGCCACCACACCGCCAGAGATTCTGAAAAGCTCCTCAGGTGATTCTCATGTAAAAACATGGTTAAAAACACCTCATCCTTCCCCTCTCTTGAAGGATGGAAAGCTGAGGGCCTGAGAGAACACTATACTCCCTGAGGGTGCCATATAGTAACTTCCTAGGGGAGCCAAAAACTGGGTCCACTGGACCACAAACAACAGAAACATATTGTCTCACGGGTCTTGAGGATGGAGGTCCAGAAGCGAGGTGTCAGCAGGGCCGTGTTCCCGCTGAAGCCTCCAAGGGCAGAGCCTTCTCTGTCTCTTCAGTTTCTGTGGTCTCCAGCATGCTTGGCATATCTGCGGTTAGATGTGTCGCTCCAACTTCTGCCACCATCTTCACAGGTCACTCTCCACACATGCATGTCAGTGTCAAAATTGCTGTCCACTTAGAAGAACCCAGAATTAGACATTGGATTTAGAGCCTAATCAAACCCAGTATGACCTCATCTTAACTTGATTGCATTTGCAAAATTTCTGTTTCCACTAAGGTCACATTCACAAGTCTGGGTGGACATTAATTTGGGGGGACGTTATTCAACCCCAACATTAAGTGAAAAGCCAAGACTCTAGCCCTGACTCCTAAGGCCCTGTCCTTGACTTTCCCTACCGTAATGGGCACCTTGGCACTTCTTTATACTCCTCCTCTTACTTATGGCTTCCATCAAGTGCCCTCTCCATACTTTGCCAGCCCCCAGCACTGATGGTTATAGCTTTTATGGTAGAAGGACATTGTCTTCCATTGTGGAATTCCAGAGGGCAGAGACCAAGTTCAAGACTTCTCAGTGGGGTACCATGCACGCCCTGGAGACATTCCATAAAGACTTGATAAATTCAGCCAAACTGATTGAATTGGTGAGTCCTCCTTAAAGAAGTAGTGAGGATCCCATTGACGGAGAAACCAAACAGAGGCTGGCTATATGTCCCTATGAGTGGTGCTGCTATTCTGGGAGCATCGGTCTAGCACAGACTTTTGGAAAAGCACAGGCAGTAGACAAATGGGCTAAGCTCTACCAAGTACTAACCATGTGACCTTGAGTAGACTATTAACTTCTTTGTGCTTCAGTTAATAATAATAATGGTGGGCCAGGGATTTAGCTCAGTGGTTCTGCTGCCTGCCTCGAGAGCACAAGGTCCTGAGTTCAATCCCTGGTACCAAAAAAAAAGAAAAAGAAATAATAGTGGTACCCATGTTAAGTGGTTTTGGGAATTAAATGAGATAATACATGTAAAGTACTTGGTCTAACATGTACTAGATGCTCCGTAAATATTTAGCTTTTAAAAAAGTAGAATCCCAGGGGCCGGGGATTTAGATCAGTGGTTTCGGCACCTGCCTCACTAGCGCAAGGTCTTGAGTTCGATCCCTGGTACAAAAAAAAAAAAAAACAACAGTAGAATCATGCTCCTTTTCAGGAAAGAGGATGACAAAACAGACCAGCATATTTGTAATAATAATACAAAGAAGAAAAGTTTTTGCGAACCACATATGGTACTTCCCTGGTCATGAGCATGACAGGTGTTACCATGTGACAATCCAGAAGCATCACAGGCAGAGTCCACATTTAAACACAGCTTTGTGTTCTGGTCCTAGAGCCTAAGGGAAGGGACCCAGTTGGCATTTGGAGTGGGATAGTTCTTTGTTACTCAAGATGCCCAGCACCCTGCCCCCTGCATCCTAAATACCCCCAATTAAGGTATCACCAAAAATGACCTCCCACATGCATTTCCAAATGGCCTCAGGATGGAGGCTGGCCTCAGGGGAACTGGCTCCCGCTTTCTGTTAGATCCACTGGGACCCAGCCTGTCCCATTAAGGGGAGTGAGGATGTGGACTAGCTGCTCCTCTGCCTGGTCCAGAGGCAGTTGATGTCAACCAGGCACTGCCAGGACACCTGCCAGAGCCTGACTGGAGGCCATGGCGCTGTCCAGCCCTGGCCCATCTGGACCCCCACCAGCTGCGGTGTCTCCCTCCACTCTCCACACTGGATGAGGCCCACTCCACAGGCCTCTTGCTTCTTCCCTTCCCCAGCAGGGCCCATCATCTGATTCTCATCAAACAAACAGAACTGATGTTACTCAAGACCCCCCCAGAGGGGATTAACATAATACCCCTGATTTCTCCTTCCCCTCTCTCTCGCTGTGCATCCCCCTGGCTGCTGCCTGCCTTTGTTTCAGGAGGAGCAAAACACTGCGTCTGAAAACGTTACTGCAATTAAATATGCACAAGAAGGGGGGAAGGGAGGGGAAATGAGGACAATGAAGGATGTGAAACATCAGATGCAGCAGCTGCTTGTTGCTATGGAAACCCCAGCTCCCCACCACCATCACCGCAGCATCACCCCCCTCCCAGCCCCCATTCTCGCCTTAAAATCCCAGTAGGGCCAAGTGCTCCATTTTCCTGGGGTGCTGGAGGCATCAGATCAGAGTCCTGGCTGTCCAGGACTGGAGCACCTGTGGCCTGCTGGTGCTGATTTTTGAGTCTTTCCTGCTTTGCCTCACCCCACCCATCAGTTCCACCACTACCTCCCCACCCTCGCATTTCTGATTGGCAGCAACACCCTCCAGTAGTTCTGCATCCCAGTCCCAGTTACATAATAAATTACTGGAGAGCTTCCACGTTTGACTTTGGGATGTCACAACATGGAGACAGAACAGCACATGCAGAGTCCTGTGGGGAAGCCAGGCTTTCTTTCCTCCACTCCTCTCTTATTGCCTGCAGCAGCGCTCTTGTCCCTCCTCCTTCCTGTCTTCCCCTGAAGCCCTCCGTTGGAGTCTGCACAGTTCTGGGCTGTGGGCTGGAGGGGACAGGGCAGGGGATCCACAGACTCCAAGTTCTAGGCGGCCAAGTACACCACAGCCTGCAGGATCCCTGACAAAGTGCAGCTGGACTGGGTCCATGTGATGTCCCAACTTGGGGACACAGAACACTTGTCCCAAGGGAGAGAGAGGGAAAGTGACATGGCAGAGATCCATGGGGACAAGACAGGGCTGACTGCAGGGAGAGCAGTGTAACTCGCACTTCACACCTGTAAAGTTAATCCAGTCTCAGTGGGGGTTCACAATCAGCAAAATGGGTGCATTGGCACCTGTCCTTCCAGCTCCCTGCACAGTGTAGACAGTAGCTGTGACGATGGCAGGGAAGTCAAGCTCAGCGTCTGTCCCTTTCTCTGCTTTGCATGTAACGGGTGTCTGAGAACTGTCTGCTGAATTATTATTGCGTGCCTGCCTCCCCATGGCTCCACTATTGAAGAGCTTAACCTCAATGATGGTTTGTTGAGTGAATAAATGATTTAGAGTGAGCCAAAAGGATTTAGATTTGTGTTTAGTTTAATGCAGAGGGACAGCTGAGAGTCAGAGGACCCGAATTCCAAGCTACTGACTGGCTGCATGACCAGCGCCGGTCACTTCACCGCAAGTCTCAGTTTCCTTCTCTGTAAAATGGAGACAACACTTCAAACAGTTGTAAGAGCCAACAAGCAATGAATGTGAATGAGATTTGCAGAAAAAATGAGGACTGTGTGCCAGACATTTTTACTATTTTAATATGTGTGAAATATTATTTTTACCTCATTGTACAGATAAGGCTTAGAGAAATTAAGTAACTTTCCCAAGGGCACACACTCTGGAAGAGCCAGACTGGGACTGAGATCTCAGCCTGACTCTGAACCCCACCTTCTATCTGCCATTTTGTTTGTGTGTGGAAGCCTCATCTATTGGTGATGCCCCCTGCCTTTGAGGCTGCACCAGCTTTGCAGCTGGTCCTCCCCATCATCTGGCAGAGGTCTCCTGTCAGCCAGAGCGCCCCAGGCCAGGGAGTAATGGGCTCTGTCCTGATTGTTTCCAGAAAACAGGTTTTTTATTACCCACCATGGCGGGCTGTACATCTCGGACGTGCAGAAAGAGGACGCCCTCTCCACCTACCGCTGCATCACGAAGCACAAATACAGTGGGGAGACCCGGCAGAGCAACGGGGCCCGCCTCTCCGTGACAGGTAGGCGAGGGGGCTGGGGGAGCAGCTGCACAGCCCATCATGGGACTCCCATGTCCCCACCGTAGATGGGGGAGTCCTCCTATACTCAGGGGACTCAGAAAGAGACTAAAGAACACAGCACAGAAACCACCCGGCCAGGCATCTTGGGTGCACTTGGGATAAGGGCTTCAGAGATGCATTTCTTCTAGGAGTCTGTGTCAGAGTGTACTTAGTGTTCCCAAGGAGCTGATGTTTCCAGCTGTCCAGTAACGAGTGTTATGGACCCACTCTCCCCTTTCCTCTTTTTGCCTTCCTTGTCAGGAAGCTCATAAATAAAATCTGATACTCAAACATAGTAATATTAGTACTATCTTTTAAGTGTTTTTTGAGATTCTATTTAATCAATGAGTGTACACGAATCTTTTCTTTTGGACACCCCACAACATTTGGAACTGTGCAGCATATAATTTATAAACAACGTATTTCTAAAGGATTCTTCTTCTAGAGAGATTGTGGCTTCTGAGGAGGGATGAAAGTTGATGTTTATTGAATCCCTCTGTGTACCCTGAATTTCCCTTATTTGTTGTCTGTTTGGCACCTCTGTGAAGCGTGTGCATTGTTCTCCCTATTTTTACAGGTGAGAAAACCAAATCTTAGGCAAGCCAAGTAATTTCTCAGAGCTATTTATCTGAGGGGAGGCACAGCCAGAATTCAAACTCTGACCCTCCTGGTCCCAGGGTTCACCCAGCTGCAGGTCTCCAGGGAAGCGGACAGTTGAGCACCCACATGCAGCCTCCAGCAGAGTAAAGAAGGCATATGGTGTCCTTCAAGGAAAGCTTTCTGGAACAGTAGTTTCCAAACTTTCTTGACAGCAAGCCATGGACAGATGTTTTTATCATAGCCTGTGCAATGCACACTGGTATTTTCTTTTCCTTTTTTTTTTTTTTTTGGTACCGGGGATTGAACTCGAGTCCTTGCACTTGCACAGCAGGCGGCAAAACCACTGAGCTAAATCCCCAGTCTGCACACTGGCATTTTCTCCCACACCCTTTGCAAGGCACTCTGATATTTTCCATTCTATTCTATCCTATTTTGTTGTTTCTAAATGCTGGTTGCACCTTTCCAAATGGATTTCACAATCTCCTAACAGTTTGTGACCTACAATTTGAAAATTCCCGTCTTGAAGAGGAGATTGAAGTGGCTTTTGGAAAGGGAATAAACTGACAGAACATGCTGGCTTTGGGGCTCAGACCCACAAGGTCACACATGCTTTCTAGGCCTCAGGAAGATGAGCTAGCCTAGGTGACAGCTCTGCTTCTGTCTGCCTCTGTCATTCTGCAATTTGGCGAGACCTACCCTGATCCACAAATGACTGTCTCCAAGACCCCTGTCATTTGCCTATCACGTTTGGAGAGGAGAACAGGGAACCAGGAGTTTTGAGGGTACTGAATCAGGCTTTCTAATTCACTCTGTGTCTTCAGTGCCTGGCCCTGTGCCTGGCACATAGTAGGTGCCAAGTAAATATTTATGACATAAATTAATGCCAATAGAAATTGCGTGGTCCTACGGGGAGGAGATAGGGCTGGATTGAGCAGCATAGTCTTTGTGGTTTGACTTTTGAATCTGCAACCCAATTCCCAAACACATCGTCTGTCAAAGTGGTTTGCCTCCAAATTATAGGGACTTGCTTGTATGCTGCTTTGCATGTCATTTGCATGCTTCTCATACAATGTAGGAAATGCACAGAAATCCCCTCTCCTGAATGCCTGTTCCACTCTCCATGATAATTGAGCCCTTCATCCTCTCTAGTCTGCTAGTTGGACCTCCAGCATTTGGGGGAGAATAGGCAAGAGTCCCTCAAAAAAAGACATTCTTTAAGCGGAAGGCTATGCCCATCTTCTACTTCTCATTCACCACCAGCTATGGGGAGGGGGGTGGCAGGAGGAGAGTGAGGAAGACCACCACTCTGCCCAGGGACTCAGAGGTAAAGGCCAAACAGAGAAACAGAAGTTGAGACAGGAAGGTTCCCAGGTAGCCCAAGGGCAGAGACCCAGGCACAGCAAATGACACAGCTCAGGAAAACAGAATGAGAGACACACAAAGACAAAGGAAGGAAGGAGGGAGCTGAGGAAAGGGAACAGAGGGGAGGGGGCCCCCCTGTGCAGTGACACAGGGCCCTGATGTGATGGGATGTGACAAGGCAGCTTGTCTGCAAGATGCTTGTCTCTGCAAAAACGCAACTGATACTGGAGCGAGGCTGTGCAGAGGAGAATCGCATCAAGAGCTCAGCCCCAATCTCTAGGCTCACTCCCAGTCCCAGATCCACTTCCCAGGTGGTCATCAGTCCCCAGAGAGGACAGACCAGGATGTCACTGAGGTGTCGCATCTCTAGTAGCCCAGGACCCCGAGCTCCAGAGAGGGTGTGTGTGCTCTGGGTTCGTGGACCCAAAGGTGAGAGGAACAGGAGAGAATGAGACGCCGGGCCATGTGTGATGGTCAGGGAAGAAGGCACACTTACCCTCATTCCTTGTGTCACTGAATGGGGTGAAGGTTTGAGCAGGAGGGATAATGCGGTGCCTTGTTAAAGGAGTATTTAAGAATTGGGCCGAAGTTTCCATCTCAGCCTTGCAGTTTGCTGACTATGCAATATAACATTGAGCACATAACATCTCCAGACCTCAGCTTCCTCATCTGTACAGTGCAAGTGGCAAAATGCGCTGCGCTAGGCTGTCATGAAGAGGAGACGGGACACTGTGTGTGGAAAGCCCTATGCGTGCCCAACACAGAGGAAGCACTAGCAGTCAGTAGCTGTGGCTCTGGTGGTGCTGGGCTGGGCTGGGCATTGTCTCCTAGTGCTGCTGCATTATTATTCCTACCACATTCCCAAAACAGGGGGGTGGGGACAAGACAACTTTCATTTTTCTGTATTTTCCAAGTTACATGAGGCAGTTGCAAGAATAATCTGATTTTGCAGTTACAAAATCCCCCCTAATACAGTAATGCCCATTCCATACACCTAGGCACTTTTAGTTTGCTGAGTGTTCTCACTTACACTAACTCACCCACACCTCAGTAGGAGGATCTCGCCAGCCACACTTCCACAGGAGGAAAGCAGGACCAGAGACAGAACAATCAGCCTCACATCCCTGGGCTCACATGGGACAGAGCACGTGCAGAGGCTGTGTCCTCGGATCCCCGACCACCACAGCACTGTCCAGTCCCCCGTTGGAGGTCCTAGCAGCCTGCCCGGGGCTCCCCAGCCATGGCTTACATGGCCGCATCTCAGGCACCCCTGGCAGTTTCTCAGGGCAGGGCCATCTGTCTCCCTGAGCGCTGTGCCCATACTGGCATCACCCGGTCCCCCAGGGCTGTCGCCATGTACACGCTGCAGCATTTTACTTCTGCTCTGGAGTAATGAAAGAGGTTTCTTTTCCTCAGAATTTAATTTCACGCCTGAGCCTCGGTGATTAATTCCCTCCCCCCCCAGCCCCTTCCTCCACCGCCCAGACGGCCCCTCCGCTTGTAAATTCTGCGGTGTGCCACGGAATTTGTGTATTTTGCATCAATTAAGTGTCACATTGAATAATTCTCCTCTGGCACC